CATGTAAAAGTACATTTGAGCAGAGACCTGAAGAAGTGAAGAAGCAAACCATGAGTGTCTGAAAGAGAATTCCTGGCTAAAAGAACAGTAAGTTCAAAGGAAAGGTACTTGGTGGGGTCTGAGGAGCAGCAAGGTAGGCAGGCTGAGGAAGTGGGACAGGCAGAACAGTGAGAAATGGGCACAGAGAGGCAGCATTATAGAATTTGTGGGCCAGCTTTTATCTAAGGGAGATGAAGAAGACATCGGAAGAGTGAGACTGGCTGACTTGGATTTTAAATAACTACTGTGTTGAGAATATACTGTACAGGGAGCAAAAAGGAAATTATTGCAATAATTGAGATGAGTGATGAAAGTGGCTTAGACAAGTATGGCAGAATGAAGGTCATAAGAGACGATCAGTTTCTGGATATATTTTAAAGATAAAGCTAACAGGATTTGCTGATGAATGGATGTAGAATGTGAGTGAGAGAAGTCTGGGATGATGGCACAGCTTTTTTGCAACCTGGGTTTGTATCCTGGGAGGTTCTGCCACTTACTGTTTGACCTACACAAGTTACTTAATAGCTCTCTGCCTCAGTTTCTCCATCTATGAAATGGGGGTAGTAATAGTACCTACCTATAAGACTGCTGTGAACATTTCATATTAAAAAAAGCTTAGAAGTGTACCTCCCACTATGTAAACACTAAGTAAGTATTGCTATCACCATCACCATCATCATCCTCATCATCATCTGCTTGCTTGTGAAAAGATGGAGTTTCAGGAAGAACAGGTTTGGGGGTGGGATGCAGATCAGGAACTCAGTTTTGAGCATGTTAAGATTCTATTGGACATCCAAGTGAAGGTGTTAAATAGACAGCTGGACATAAGTAGAGTTTAGCAGGAAGATCAGGGCTAGAGAACTATATCTAGGAACTGGGGACATATATAGACAATATTGAAAACCATGAAACTAAAGAAGATCCCTCTAGGGAGTGAATACAAAATAGTTCCCAGGACTGAGCACTCAACAGTTCAGAAGTCGGGAAGACAATGAGTAACTAGCATTCTTCCAGGAGTGGCATCCTGGATGTCACAGTGATAAGGTGTTTCAAGAAGAAAGGAGTACAGGCCGGCCGAGTGCCTCATTGGTTAAGAGTTGGCTTGGGAGCACGAGCTCTGAGCAGCAGGGCTGCCAGTTTGGAACCCACATGGGTCAGTGACACTGCCCTCTATAGCTAAGATGGTGAACAACAGCTTGNAATTCAAGCATTACCTCCCTCCAGGTGTCCCTAATCTAATCTAGATAACTTGCCTTTGGGCTTCTGTAATACCCTAATACAGCAGCTCTCAAACAGGGGAGATTTTGCACACCAGGCATCATATGGCAATGTCTAGACATTTTTTAATTGTCACATTTTAGAATGGATAGCTTTGTTGTGGGGAGCTGTCCTGAGCATTGTAGGTTGTTTACTACCATCCCTGGCCTCACTAGATGCACTACCACCTCCCAAGTCCTTCCCACTGTGACAATAAAAAAATGTCTCCAAACATTGCCAAATATCCCATGGGGAGGAAATCACCAATGATCTAGAACATGCATGTAAAATAAGTTAATGAATTAATTTTTAATATAACAATTGAAAGTAAAAATTTATCCAAGGACTAAGAAAGAAATAATTTACCTTTTCAGCTAATTCTTCTGCTGTTATCTTTGGATCATAAGGAATGGGATCACCTAAAAAGGTGCGTAACTTCACTGGGAAACCTCCATACATTGGAGCAAATGGATATCGGAATTTTTCATAAAGCCATCTAAATAACCCTGTTTTAAAGTAAACAAATCATTTTAATTGGTTAAATATTCTGAGCATATAATTGTAAGCTTTCAAATTATGTAAGACAGAGGAAGGTGACAAACAGTATCATCTCCTGACAATTAGTATTTTTTTTTTAAAGATGAGCTTTTCATCAATTGAAACAAATGAGCAAGAAGTTAAAAGAAGAAACTGGGGTGGGGGAGTCACAAGGGGGTTTATGGGTACTCTGTACTTTCTGCTCAATTTTTCTGTAAACCTAAAAATGGTCAAAAAAATAAGGACTTAATTTTTTAAAAAGATCTTTTAGAAATATGAGAATTTTAAAAGGCAAATCAATTACTATTATTGCGAAGGGTAAAAACTGAAACCAAAAATTAGAAGCTAAAAAGTTGAGAAACTCACAAATACCTGACTTACAATTAAAAAAAAAAAGAAAAATATGAAAGTGCAAAAAAATTCACATAAACATGAGACTAAAACGCATTAATAAACTAAGTAAAGACTAAAAATATTATTGCAAATTAGGAATAATGTAAAAAAGTCATGCGTTACTAATGCTAATAACCAAGCATAAAATTTAGTAAGATTAAAAGTGTTAATAATGTAAAGCGATGGACTATAAGGCTAAGTTTTTAAAAAATGAATCCAAGAAAGGCAAGCAACATGGAATACATAAATCATGAATCGTACCGGGAGTTTAAAACACTGTTTACATATGGAAACAGAATACACCATAAGATTCAAAGTAACACTAAAAAAAAAAAAAATCACTAGACACTAAATTTTTGAGATAATCAACTATTAAAATTAAAAGCAGTCAAAAATAATTTTAAAACCCCTTTGCAATTAAAGAAACAAAATTAGGAATACTTTCTGGAATGCAACTTAAATTCTGAAGAAATGATTTGACAGAAAATTAGAATAATTCCACAAGCAAAGTTAAACATCACATCAACCTGCTTTTCCACTTTGAATTTGAAAAAAAAAAGAAAAAAACATAATGGAATATCAACAATACACCAACATTGGACATAAAAGAAACAACAGACATTCTTTTGGGAGAAGATCTGAATGTGGATAGAAACACTAATAATATAGTGCTAGGGATACAAAATATAATCAACCAAATATATAAAGCATAGGGTATAAAATCAAACTGAAAATTTTAAAATAAAAAGAAATCAGACATTGTGAAAAGCACATCTAAATGTTATCACTCCTATAACTATTTTCAGAGCTTATTTGGTTACCAATAAATTAAAGGTCGGCAAAATAACTTTTCAATGTAAATGTATCGTGGTTCAAAATATTTTTAAAACAAACAAAAAAAAAGTAACAGAAATAAACCAAGGCAAATTTTATCTCCTTAGGTTGTTCATCTTAATTCAATATCATATTGTCATCCATTTTTAAAGCTGTAATTTCAGGGGTCAGTTAGGAGGACAGGTTATATGTAAATTTGTCCTAACCTTCAACATGTTTTAATACAGTAAATAAGATAATTTACTCTGTAATTTTAAAAAACCCATGAGAAATAAGCTTCAGTATGTATATGAGACTTAACAAAAACCTATCATCTAAGAACTGCCATTACTTATAACCAGTTATCATTTGGACTTTAAATAGAAAAATATCTAAATAGGAAAACACCTAAATTTTGAACTCTTATAGAGTTCAAAAGCCCAAATATTTAAAATATTACATTGTAAATATTACATTATAACTAGAATAACCATATGAACCAAAACTTACTTGTTCCTCCAAGTGATCTAAATCCTTCTCGAATATTTTGTGTAAACATAGGAATAATGGGCTAAAGAAAGAATTTGAATTAAAAAGTAAATATATTAATCCATTCAATGTCTCCATTGAGTGACTAATGTAAACTTTTGAGGGCCTGTTTAAGATTATGGAAATAAGGTACTTTAAAAATAAAGATATACTTTTATTACTACTGTGATTTATCAAACTAGATCATTTGTAGAAATATAAATTGAAAACACTACCCTCTAGTGGTAATATATAATTTCATTTACCAACTTTCTATCATTCCATATAAATCTTTGACACTCAAAGATTATAATCATTAATTCCATTAAATAAAATGAACGTGGGAAATTAAACTGGTTTAAATGGGCTACTAAATAGTATGCTCACTGAAGAAAAAGTTACAAGACAGAGATTCTACCAGGAAATTTGTATAAATTTAAACGGCTGCTTTTGGCAAGATGCTGTCATGAAATTAGCAAAAATGACATTTTTTTTGTGTGAGCTTATTAAATCTAAAAATGTTCAACGTCAATGAAAAGTAAGTATCAGACTCATCACAAGAAAAGGAAAAGCACATATATGTAAGAATTCTTCCTATCATTAATTTTAGAGGATTTCTGCTCACAAGTAAAGTTTTTATTTTTCCATGAGTATCAATAATTAAGCATAATTTGAAAAACGGAGACCTTAACTAAATGTCATAAAACAATGGATGAAGTAACAAAGAATCACGTAAAGAGGTTACGCCATGATAGAACTTAAATAGATTAAAAAATTGAGCACTTTAAAATGTACACAAAATATTCCAAAATAAACAATGTTTTCGAATAGATAAAACTGGGGGTCGGGGGTGAATGTCACTATACTTATAGTCTACCATCAGTATTTGCTTAATACAGAATTACCTGCTTTAATGAACAGGGTTTGAGACATTTAAATAAGCTGACGTTTAAAAAGCCATTCCTATTCAGCTTTGGAAAACAGTAAAATGTGATGGACTGAAGGAAAGAGACTACAGGTATAGCTTTCTTCATAAAACTTATTACCTAACATATAACTAACTCATCATTTATTTACTGTATCTCCCCTCTCCCCCAGAAGGAAGATTCTTAATCACATAGACATTGTTTTGTTCACTGCTGTATCCCAACACCTAGAACATTGCCTGGAATAGAGTAGGTGCTAAAAGAAAATGTGATGAATGAATTGAGAAGGAATGAATAAATAGAACAGAAAGACAATGTTTGTAATAAATTAGTTTGTATTCTCTGAATACAAAGAGTCAGAAACAGGGAGCAGCCATCTTAAAACCAGTTAGGAAAAAGAGAAATCTATAAAGAAAAGCAGTCAGATGAAGAATTTAAAATTTGATAGTTAATTCACAAAGCAAACACATAAGACAAAGTACATTGACACTTCTGTAAAAAACTCAGATTATGATCTAGGAAACTACCAGTTTTATAAAACAAAGGAGAGGTGAAAGCCTAGTATTTTAAATAGTTATATCGTTAGAGTTGAGAACTTCAAATGCCCAAGAAGGAACAGAAACCTTTCAGCTCATATATACACCATTTTGCCTTCTCTGACCAGTACTGCTGGATTTATGTCTACTGACTGGCATGAACTCAAGTTTGTATTGAAACATGCACTATATAAAGACTCTTTGGGTTAAGTATCAACCTTTAAATAGCTAGCTCTCCAGAAGTTGGACATTTCTAGAACCTACTAAACAGGAGAAAGCTTACCCTAGCAGGCTCAGCATTCTAGGCTACATTTTGGGTACACTGTTCCTAAATTTGCTTTCAAGCTTTAGCCTTAAAGCCACAAGCATTACCTTATTGATAATAACTTGATGCTGTAGTACAGTTATTCATTCCTTTCCTTGTGCACACTTTGTATACAAGGCAGTTGCGTAAGTCACCTAACATTAAATTCTGTTTACATGTGTCTCTGTATGTATGTGTGTGCACATGTGTGCAAGAGAGAGAATGTGTATTTTGTTAAAAGCTATTCTTGGAGAATCAGTTTAACATGGTCTTAGGAGTCTTAACTTTGCCACTAAAAACGTGGGAACCACTGGTAAATTACTTACCATGTCTAAGTCTCAGTTTCTTCATGTTAAAATGGGATAGTAATATCTTGGTGGGTTTCTTTTTCTTTCTTT